TACAGAAGATGCTGCTCCATAAAAGTCTTGGCTAATACAATAAAGCTGACTGCTTTTGCAGATAGAGGTTCTGCTCCATGCAGTCCTGAACTGATGACACCACTTTTGTAAATTTTTGCTAACAGGCACGAAGAAAGCAGACGGACCGGAGGGCATATGCAATTGTATATGCACACAAAAATGCTAACAAAAAGCTTACAGGCATTTCTAAGCAATGTGAACCCTAGATCCATGCATATTTATGCTGAAAAGCAAAACCAAATGCAAAGTAGCTATAATTAAAGACATCGCTACCTTTTGTTTATATATCTAACCAAGATGCACACAGCTGAGTTTCCAAAACAGTGCTCATTTAAATGATCCTTCACTCGACGAATAACTTCACATCACTAAATATTTAAAGTTTAACACTTTTGTTCTGATATTTCACCATTTCCATCTATCTCCAGGTTTTAAAAGAACACTGTCCTTACGTGCACACAGCTCACCACAACAAAAATAAATTAAAAAAAACAAAAACCAAACAAAAACCATACCAAATGTCCCTTTTATATCTGCATATAGAGTGAGTGAAAGGAAATGAGCTAGTGAAGGGTAAGATTAGTCACCACTGCAGAAGTCCCTTATTGCTTGTCCAGTGATGCTTCTGCAGTGCACTGAAAGAAGGCAGAAGAAAGGGATAAAAGCCAGATTTGCCATCAGAAGGCAGAAGAAAACGTACTAAACACACATTTTGTACTTGGCTATTTTGAAATACTAGTACAGGTAATTGCATAGCTAGGCACATAAAATCACTAGAAGCATCGTCAGACTCAGCAGCCCTGTAAACCGCCTAAGGTAACATAACCACTGACTGAAAAGCATGTTGATTACCGGGAACTTCAGGTGCTACTTCACAACAAAGTTGTTACTGGTATTGGGTTAAGTATTTTTTTTCTTACAAAAAATATCTCCTAGCTCACCTTTTAGTACAATATTACAGAGCACTACTAACTCAACAGAAAACTGTTTTGAAGGTCACCTTCAAATGTTAATGAATGTCCATATTTGAAAAGCGTTCTGCATTAAATTATAGTTTATTTCAATTTGTTTTAAGCATTAAGTATTTGCTCTTTACTGGTCCCTCCCATTGCATCTATTCTTTCAATACAACTGGTGCGTATCAATTATATATTTTTTAAAAAATTAAAAAAAAGAGTACAAAGCTGTTGTGTGCAACAAAGTATGCGTGACACTATGCAACAGAGTTCTGTAATACTAGCATTTATCGGCAGTCATCTTTTAAGACTTGGGCTGTTCATTCATATTCTCAGTTATCTCAGTAAAATGTTGAGATTGCATTGTTTCCTAAGTTTTGTCATTTATATATGCACACATATGACAACTACACATACAGAGATCAAACCTTTGCTTTTGTTACACATTCATATTAATTTTTTCCAGCAGAAAATCTGCAGAGATGTGTTCAAGGTAATGCTTACTATAACAAAAGAAATAATTGGCAAATATGCTTCTTTAATTCATCAGGAATCATGAGGTCATATTTCTTATTAGTATCACCTGTTACATATTGATTAAAATATTTGTAAGACCCTGAAATTGTTAAGAACTTGAACATTTATCATCCACAGCTGAACAACAGAAACTCATTATTTTTTCCCTCTTGCTTCAAATTCATATCAGCCAGTCAGGAAGAAGAAATCTTATGACTTAACTTCACATTACTGACCACAAGAGCTGGAGGAAAAAAAGGTAAAATCATAGCTCAAGATAACACTTGTAAAAATTCTTTAGGTACAAATAGGATGCAATTTACAGACTCGGGATTAAATCCTTCCTAAGGAAATTGTTATCAAAGAAGAGATTAACTGAAGAACAGATTTTGACCACCTGCCATTTATGTCTAAGGTTAGCAACAATGTCCTTTGGAGCGTGTATTCATTACAAAGTTCAGCTGCGGAAGGAAACCCATTCAGACATCAAATCAGGCTGGTCAGGAGAACAGTATTCAGTGGCACTGACCTTGCTATTGTCATTCTGCTCAGGGGTTACAAGCTCGCTCTTTTTTTACACCACACAGGTTGGCCCATGTATTTTGCAATCTAGTTCCATAGAAACTTTGCACGAAGACTTTCAGTTCGAACATGCATTGAGATGAAAACATTTCTGCATTCACATAGTCTCCCCCTGAGGCATAAAGAGATTCTTCTTATGCAAACTCAACATTTTAGAAAAATTCAGCAAAATTTCTGTGCTGGAGGTTTTGGAAACCTTGTTGCCTTCAACTCTCCACACTGTACCAAGTCAACAATAATCACCCTCTACCTTACTGTAGTCATTTTGGAAACACACCAGATGAGGCAAACAGGGCAGGTTCCTCTAGAGCTTTTGTCCTGCTTCTCAACAGAATACCTCCAATTCAACTTCCAGGTGTCTTTCTTACAAGGTGCAATGACAACTTTCTCTCTTTGTAAAGAAGGCTGAATGGCTGGTGGAGCTCAGGTAAATGTGTTAGACAGGCTAAGAGAAGCTTAAAATAAAGAAATAGATGTACCTTTTTAAGAAAACAGACACTCAAGGGACTCAAATGTTCAAAAGAGCTGAACGATGTCTCATTTCTACCAGGCATTAGGCACTCAGGTGAAAATTACCTATTACCATGAGATAAAAAGGGAGACCTGAAAAAACGCACCATGGAAACCTGTACATACATAAAAAACATTGTACTTTCCAAGATTTAATTGATAGAATACCTATTTATTATGGTATTTCATTTATATCTAATTTAATAGGTATTTATTTTTTTATCCAATTAAATTGTCTGGAGCTGCAATTTTTATGTTCAACTCTTTAAGCAATTTATCAGTTTCTAGCAACCAGGTTGAAGGGGGAGAAAGAATTGTTTTGGCACTATCAATTCTGTCCATAGTACTTTATAAAGCACAGTGGGGGAATATTTCTGATCAGCTAGAAACAAAGCCTTTAAGGACTGTTTAGAAGTTGATCAGACTTGATTTGAGTCCATCAACAGTCATACTTATACAATATTCAGTTCCTTTTGAGCTATGCCACCCTTTAGCTTTTGCTAATAATACGGCCTCTCCCAGCAAGTGGTGTTTGTGATTTTAATGCTAAGAAAAGGTAAGCTTTAAATACTGCTAGGAGGTTACCCTACAACTTTTAAAAATTTAGCATATTACAGCTCATATAAAAGGATATTTAAAAATATAATCCCTTTCATGATCTGACAGCATTCCAAATCTTATTAATTTTCTTCTTTTTGACAATTATTTTTCAGATAAAAATGGGAGTTGTTTCTGCATCATGTTTATGATGGAACACATTCACAAACAGAGAGGTTTTGTAGCATTTCCTTTAAAACATCTTAGTCTGGATTCACCTGATCGCCTCGCAGGTTTGTTTTTTTTTCATAGCCTGTACCCCCAACCCACAACACTGTGTCCCCAGCTGATGCATGGTTGCTCTGATATTTCATCATCTACATTGCCCCAGAGGAATACAGCTATTCTGGCAGTTCACAAATAGAAATACAGCCTTTGATGTAGCTGGGGTGTTTGATCCAACAGTTGCTTTGAAGATCAAGACCAAAGCCTTAGACGATACTGATAACTGACTGGGAGCCAGCGGAGCAAACCACGTGCTGATCTGACATACAAAGAGCTGCCTAAACCATGCCGAAATTGGACAACTACACTCCCTACCATGTAATACTCATCAATAACCTTCAAATCCAAACACAGAAAGCATCATTTCCACTGAGGGAAGTATCTTGCAAGCTAAGAGGGGAAAGGCCACCTTTCGACCACATTTCTAAAATGTGTGCAGCAGTGTTTAAGGTCAACCTTCATGAATTGTGACAAAGTCATGTGAGGTTTCTTCCTGTTGCCATCTACCCTTTGTCATCTGCATTAACATTGAACATCAATTCTAACAGGTGACATACACATCCATTCCACAACTGGTTTTGCCACTCCTCCTAGGTTTGTTTCTTCTTACAGATAAGTAGGAAGTGATATACAAAAGGGTGGGAACAGCAGAGAACAGGTTGTTGTTGCAAGACTTTTTGTTCTCTTGGTCTGAAGCACACAGATGCATTCAAGGAACACCACAGAAAGATGATGTGGACACAAACATGGTCAACTATTTCAGAAGGATTGGCCAAGTTCCATGGGTCTGGCCAGAAAGGCTGGTAACCAAAAATTGGAGAAACCAAGGTGGCAGGTTAGTCAGACAGACATAGCCTTTGGACTAAGATGATCTAACTGATCTTCAGGCTCTGGGAGGCTAGCTATACGTCCTGGTTTTCACACCACTTTATAGAATAGCATTCATGGTTTTCAGTAGAAGGGACAGAT